AACAACAACAACAACAGCAGCAACGGCAGCAACATAGTTTCTGAGGTATGTGTGTGGGTGGAGAGATGAAACAACAACAACAACAACAACAACAACAACAACAACAACAACAACAACAACAACAACAACAACAACATAGTTTATGAGGTGTGCGTATGAGAGGGGGGATGAAATTTTTGGTATCTAGGGGGGGAAACAATAACAACAACAACAACATGATTTATGAGGTACGTGTGGTAGGGGAGACGAAATTGTTGCCGGTAGGAGATAGTAAAGATATAACTAAACCAAAACAACAACAACAACAACAACAACAACAACAATAAAGGTTATGAGGTGTGTGATGGAGGGGAGATAACATTTTTGGTCCGTAGGGAACAGCAAAAATGTAACAAAACAACAACAACAACAACAACAACAACAACAACAGCAACAGCAACAACAACAACAACAACAACAACAACAATATAGATTAGGAGATTCGTGTTGGAGGAGAGGTGAAATTGTGGGCTTGTATGGGACAGCAAAAATAGAACAAAACAAAAACAGCAACAACAAAAACAAAAACAGCAACAACAAAAACAAAAACAGCAACAACATAGTTTATGAGGTGCGTGAGGGAAGGGAGATGAAATTGTTGGCCTTTAGTGGTGAGCAAAAATATGTGAGGCAGCGTGGTGGAATCAGGCTCTCGTCAATTTTTGGGCATGTAGAGTTATGGGTTTCATCTTCAAGCTTGTTCACTTATCTTTATTTGGAAGAAAAAAATATCCATTTATCCTGAATACAAGTCGAGATATTTGCGAATGAAGGAGGTGGGGGTCACCTGTTTTCAGAGGTAAAATTAGTGAGAAAATGGCCGTCAAAGATTAGTTATTTCCTAAGAGTAAGACCCGTGGTAACTGAAAATTTACATTTTTTGTGCCTTTAATCAACGTTTTTCAGAAAAATCCACACAGACATGAGTTTTTTAATTGGCATGAAAGGGTGAGTAGTTTTCTTAGTTTCAGCCAGAGTTTTACATCACGTGCAACACATGTATCTCATATAAGTGTTGTCATGAAGATCTTAAGGTGTTTTACAGCACTTGCATTACAAGTATCTCGTACAGTGCTGTAGATAAGATTGTAAGATGCTCCTGTCCATCAGTTATTAAAGCAGGGGGGGGGGGAGTTCCTTTATTTGTCTTTCAGACGAGATTTGAGAAAACCGTAAAGAATGCGAAGTGGCAAACCTCTGCGATGGTGACTTTGGCGGGTTTGGTTGCAGTGGCCGGATCCAGCAGGCTGGGGAGGCCGCTCTCTGCTGACACGTTGAACACCATGAACTTTGTGAACTCTGGGTCAGTGGACACTTCGTCATCCTGTTTGGAAGATACATTTACTTTTTTTAAAAATTGTAAGCATTTTACGGCTGCGCTCGCAGCTGCCTAAGGTCATGTGAGAGCCCGGGACTCATTAAACATTTTAAGTTGGTAAGACATTTTGATTTTTGCAGGCAGGGTGGCGGCCGAAGCCTACTCTTATCGATTTTAGACCACAAAGGGATCTTTAACGAGCGCAATTTGCACACGGAACCACCGAGATTTTTCGCTCTTGTCCGAGAAGGCTACGTGTAGATCTTTCCTACCAGAAGATCAGGGGTGTGACGGAAAGACATCAGTAAGAAGGAGCCAAGGAGTAGCAGTATAAAGGCTGCAGAAAGAGTCAGGAGCCCAGAGTAGGTGGCAAAGGAGGAGAGGGTGGAGGGGGGGGGGGTAGAAATTGAAAATGAAAGCAGATGATAGAATATTTCTAGAAAGCAGGAAAGGAGGTAAAGGAGACAATTTTAGAGAAGAAAATATTTCGGTCGCTACCCGGATTCAAACACCTTAACCTCTAGGCCACGAGAGCCCACGTCATCTGATTAGTAGAAAAAAGTGAGTGTAATAGTGCCCAAAAGTGTATTGCATGCATACTTAATATGACATTTAACTGGCACAGATCCATGGATTATAGATGTAAGTCAGTGACCTGAGAGCAATGGTTTAAAAAATAATGGTGGTGATGAGTGATGATGTAGAATTGCGTTTAACTAATGTTAGCGTTACTCCTAGCTTCCTCTGCTCTAATGAGTTACGAGGGACGTGGGCACCCTCTATCCCGTTCCCAACTGGAACCGTGTTTAATGTCATTGTGAAATTCTTTTGGAAGATAATAAAAACCCGTCATGATGAGTTCTGAAATATGCCAAACTTTGCATATCAAAAATATCTTTTAGTGTCCTCTACGACCTTAATAGAATAATTCAGCTGAAATTTGGTTTAAAGTTCTTTACGCAAAACAGATCGTAATCTTGAAAAATATTTGATTTAAATGTGTTGGTAATAATAACTTTATTATTTCACTTTTACTTCCTATCTCTATCCCGGTTCCAAGTCATGAATTCACTACTTGAATGTAGATAAAGACTAACCGAAGTGATCGAAAATGCAGGCATAGGCTACAAAGGTTACTCAAAGGTATGTAAAGTAAAAACCGAAACATAAAAAGATCACAAGCTTAATAATCAAACGTATTATATTTAATATATTAAAACAGTTTTATAAACGGAGTAGCTAATATCACAAAATTGTGAGGCAGCGTGGTGGAATCAGGCTCTCGTCAAAATAGTGAAATTGAAGAAAACAGCAGTGTTCTCCCTGCTTCGCAATTTTTTATCAAATGTCTGTTTTCTTAGCTCAACACCTTTTATGTCCATTTACACACACATTCCTTTGAGGATCTCACCGAAAACGTTGATTAAAGGCACGAAAATATAAATTTACAGTTTCCAAGGACTCTCCAGCTTTGGAATTAACCAAGCTTTGGCGGCCATTGTCTCGCTAATTTTACCTCTTAAATCAGGTGACCACCACCTCCTTCAATCCAAAATATCTCCACTTCTATTGAAGATGGGAGGGTAATTTTTTCATTGAAAGCAAGACAAATGAGCAAATTTTAAGATGATACCAAGAACTCAATATGGCCAAAAATTGACGAGAGCCTGATTCCACCACGCTGCCCCACAATTAATTAATGTGTTAAAAGAAAAGAGTGAGTGAAAAAAACCCAAAATCCCTCACCAAGTCTTGTATGATTGTTGAAAACAAAATACATAATAATATTCAAAACAGTTTCATAAACAGAAAACTCATATCACAAAATACTTTAACATTGTAAAAAGAAAAAGAGTAAGAACCCCACCCCCCAACCCCGCCCCCCTAAAAAAAAGCCCCCAAAATCCCTCACCAAGTCTTGTATGATTGTTGAAAACAAAATACATAATAATGTTCAAAACAGTTTTATAAACAGAAAAATCATATCACAAAATACAGTAACTAACATTGTTAAAAGTTAAAGAGTAAGAACAAAAACAACCAAAAAAAAAAAAAAAGCCCTCACCAAGTCTTGTATGATCGTCGAGTACACCGCCGCGTCCTGGGCTATCTTCACGGGGTCTTTGGCCTGGACAGAGCGGTCCAGTTTGGCCACCACATCCGCCACTACCTCGTCCACCTTCGCCTTCTCCTCCTCGTCTGTCAGGTCTTGTCCCAGATGGTCGCGCGATTTTACCTGCACGTTAGATTGGTTTGTTCGTAACGCAATCCCACATCATCCCTCACCACCACCATTATTTCTAAAATCGTCAGGCAATGCCACATCATCACTCATCACCTCCATTATTAATTCTAAAATCATCACCGCTCTCAGATCAATAACTTACGTCGATAATCCTGGAATCTCTATCTGCTATTACAGTTACTTGCTGTACTAAGTATGCACGTAATACACTATTGGACACTGTCATACGCACTTTTTTCTACTAATAAGATAGTGTCAATCTCATATAAATGGACATGGGAATTTTAAAAAAAAATACTCGTTTGTTTGTTAGTTTGAGTAAAGAGAAGCCACATCGACAGAATGATGGTCATTTAGTGCTGAGAAAAAGTAAGACAGACAGACAGACAGAAACAACAGAGGGAAAGTAAAGAAGCAGGATCTACCAGTGGAGCCTTCCAACCACCCACCTGCACGTTAGAAAATATATAAGAATAGAAAACAGATAAGAATAGGAAACAGATTAGAACAGAATACAGACTAGAATAGAAAACAGATAAGAATAAATACTGCCTATTGTTACATGATTAGTAACCAGCATCTATAGTCGAGTGTGCGTGGTACTTCACCCAACCACCTCCTCCTTATTTGCCCTTTATTTGGCTGAAACTGAATTTTAAAAGTGTGAACAATAATGAACCTGAAACACGATCAAGGATATTATGATAAGTGTGTATGTCACCCCCGGGGCGGTGCTACTGACTGAAGTGTCTTTAGGCCATTCCCAAAGTGTTCTTGTGCACTGTAGAATTGTAATTGTAAATGGGCTGATTCATCAATGTCATGTGTCTGAACTGCACCAGAGAACTGCTGCTTTTTCTTTCTTAATCCTTGCTATCGTCTTTTTGTCCTCAACTTCTTTTGTACGTTTGTCACACTCTTGTGACCCGCTATTTCCGGGGTGCCTTGATAGCCGAAGCAGACTTTGCGCTGTGGAAGCTAGAGAGGTGACCAGAGTAAGCCTGATTTTCCCTTACTGTAAGGACTTCTCTGTTGACATCCACCCCTTGGCGCTCATATGACATTATACAGTTGCGAGCGCCGTAAAACCTCTCCTAAAACAAAGCAAACACTGCAAATCACCTTGTCTCACCGGCGTATGTATTAAGCGGACGCTTCGCGGTCGGTTGCACACAGCATGAGTCGTGACTTCGATTCTCGAGCGAGTGGGAGACTTTTTAATCGAGTGTATCGGCATTCCTACTGAGAATATTTTGTTTACCTCACAGCTCCGCGCCGGGTTGACCCTGACAGTAATGCTGGGCGGTTAGGTTCCAGAGTGTTGAAATACTGTCTACATGCCCATTTCTTCTTCTTCTTCTTCTTCTTCTTCTTCTTCTTCTTCTTCTTCTTCTTCTT